TCTTCCTCACATGAAGAAAAGCTGTGTCTCCGGGCGTGTTTATCCTCGTGGCGCTGATGAGAAACGATGGCACGACAAACACTGTTTATCGATGTTCTATTATTTCCGCCTAACCTATTGCGGATATTAATATACCAGCGACTTACACTTCCCGGAACACGACCCTCAGAGACCACCTACGCGGGGCTCTGTATCTGCCGATGATAAATACAGAAGTCTTAGATAAAATAGTGTTTACTGCCTAAACGTAAATAGTGTTGCCAGGCTGAGCGCCCTGAGAGGAAGGCTGCTCGCGCTCTGAAACAGTCTTGCCAGGTAAGTATACCGGCGCAGTGTTGCCAAGGTGAGTACCACTCGGGTGCCAAATTTACTAATTGAAGAGGCGCTTCAGAATAAGGAAACGCCTCTCTTATTCGTTATAATCATCCTTATTATGAAATTATCAGCGCTATAATTCCATTATATGAATTAGTACCTTGCTATCATTATTATAATTATTATTATCATTGCATTATTATCATAATTATGATGTCAGTCATTATTACTATTATCATTACCATTACTATTGTCATCATCATTATTAGTTATTGTTATTATTGTTGTTATTATTGGTATTATTATTATTGCTATTATTTTTATGGTGTCATTTTCATTTTATCATTATACTTATCAGTGTTATGGTTATTGCTGGTATTGTTATTATTATTAATATAAATGTGTATCATTATTTTAATATTGACATCATTGTTATTTATATAATTTTGATACCTTAATTATTATTATCATTATTAGTATCATCATCATCATCATCATCATCATCATCATCATTACTATTATTATAAATATCACCATCATTAATTATTAGTATTATTGTTATTATCATTAATATTATCACATAATTGTTATAACTACTATCATTATTATTACAATTAGTGGATGTTTTGTTCTTACTGCCGTTGTTATTGTCATTATAATCATCACGAGTCTCACTGGAAAGGCGTTGGCAATAATAATAATAACCATTATTATTATAATAACAATAACCATTATTATTATTACAATAATAACCATTATTATTATTATTATATTAATAACCGTTACTATATTGCCCATAGCAACGCGGAGGTATAGCCGTGGAATAACAACTACTATGATATCAGTGTATTGTTGTTAAAGGATTATAGACCTTATTCAGATTTCCAGATCTAAAAGGAGAAAACTAAGCCGCCCAACAACAGAGATGTTGCAATGAAAAAAATCGAGTATTTGCAACATCAAAATTGATATCGATCTCATCTGAACATACTAAATGAATAAAGAAATTGCAACACCTCATTAAAAACAGAGTTGCAAATTTCTTTTCCTCTTCCAGCAATCTACTGCCAAATCTGGTTGCCAAAATTGCTCGTTCAATGTATTTGCAAGAAAAGAAAGACGCCTGATTTTCTTTTCCCATCAAAACGGTTAAAGTCACGTCCCTTTGTTCTCTTTCTAAACAGTAAGCAATCGAATGTTAAAGAAACAAAATGATAATGAAGCCAGTCGAATGGAAGACTCTTATGATGCCATTGTATGCATGATGTAACTGTAATTGCTATCATAGAAATGATAATGATGATAACAAAACTGATATTAAACAATGATAAAAAGGATCACTATAAATGATTATGATATTACAACCAACAGTAATAATGATGATAATGAGAATTCTGATTGTAATATGTTTTGTAGTTATGATATTAATAACATTAGTAATGGAGAGGAATTTGATGATAATAATAAGGATAATTTTAATAACATCAATGACAACAGCAGCAGCTGTATTAATAATGATAGTAGTAGATGATGACAAAAATAATAGTAATGTAATGATAATAATAATTACTAGAAGTCGAGAGATGCAATAAAAATATTCACAACTGAAGAAGTACATTGCAATCCCCCTTTTCAAGTAAACTGATAGCGTCCGTCTCCCTATCTGGCATTGCTAATGAACAATTCAAGGAATCCTGGATCCGGATCATGATCCAGATCGCCACCAAAGTTTAATGGCATCTAAGTTAGGCTAAGACGCACTTTTTGTAAGAAAAAAAAATCCGTTCATAACATCATAATCCGGATCAACACCTAAATTTAGTGGCATCCGTTGGGCGGATAATAATAATAATAATGATAATAATAATGATAATAAAAGTGATAATGATGACAAAAATAAAAATAACAATGATAATCATGATAATATCAACAAAAATAATAACATTAGTAACAATAAAGATGATGAATATATTAATAATGAAAGCTATGATGATGATAAAGGTAATACAGTAATAATTATGATAATGATCAAAATAGTTATGATAGTAATTAGGATAGTAATGATAATGATGATAAAAGAGAAATGATAATAACGATGATAAAAATTATAATCAAAGTATTACTACCAATGATGATAACAAAAAAGGCAATAATGATAGTGACAATATTAATATTAACAATAATAAAACTAATAATATTAACAATAACGATAATGATGATAATAACAAAAATAATAACAATAATGACAATATTAATAATATTAACAGTAATGATGATATTAATGTAACATTAACATTAATAGAATAAGAATATTATTAATAATAATGCTAATGATGATAATGGTGAAAACAGTAATAATAATATTATTAATATTAATAGTAATAATAATAACAATGATAATAATAATGATAATAAAAATAACATTAATGAAGTAGTAATAATAGAAATAATAATAACGATAATGATAATAATAATAATAATGATATTAATGATGATAATTATAGTAATGATAATGAGGATAATGATGGTAATGATAATGATAATGATAGTTTTAATAGCAACAACAATGATAATAGTGACAATAACGATAATAGTAATAATAATAATGATATTCATAATAATGATGATAGTGACGATAATAATAATAATAATGATAATAATAATAATAACCATATGACACATAATAATGATGGTAATGTTGATAATAATGATAATAATGATGATCAAATAATAATGATAATAATTATAAAAATGGTAATGATAATAGTAATAATAATAACAATGAAAATGATAACGATAGTAATAACAGTAGTAATTGTTATAATACTAATAAATATCATAATAATGATTAATGATAATAATATGGTAATAATAATAATAATGACAACTACAGAAAAAGGACCAGCTTTTGATATATAAAATATTACTTGAAGACTGCAAATCAAATCATCGTAATCTAAGCATGGCTTGGACTGCCTTCCACAGTGTACCTCAGCTAGATTCTGATGTCTCTACAACTTATGTAAGATATTAGCCATCAATAATTAAAGTAAATATGCCATTGTGGAGAAGGACTTTATCGCCTGAATCAAATCAAATCCTATTAACATGAGAAGTGGGATTTCCCAAGGCGACTTTCTGTCACCAATACTCTTCTGCTGCATTGATATCCTTATTACCTGAATTGAGTAATACTGGCTATGGATATATGGTCAGGAATAAAAGCATAAATCCTTTATTTATTTTTGGATGATCTTAATGCTAAAGATGACAACGTTCTAGGACTACAAACAGTTAAGAAATGACAATATTGGCCCGTTTTTTGGACTAGACAAATGCAGAAATGCAACATTTACGAGGGGAAGAATAGTTAAATCGCCGGACGTGAACCTCGAAAAAATAACGTAATTAGAAATCTGGAAGAAACATACAAATATCTTATTAACGAATGTAACAGGGCACAACTTGCTAACATGAAGGAGGTTAAAAAGGGATGCTATCGAGGAATACATATTGTACTGAGATCAGAAATAAAGTCAGCTAACGAAATAGAAGCGTAATGCCAGCTGTGACATCCAGCTTCAATATAATGAACTGAAACTTGTCTGACATAAAAAGAATTGACACAAAAATCCGTAAACTGTTAAACTGTAACAGGATGCACTGCCCAGAAACAGATGTTATATACATTATATACCTAGAAGGGAAGTGGTAAACCCTTGTTCAGCTTGAATTATTCTGGACTACAAAAACATCTAGAGACTAGCGATGATTGCATATTGTAATTGGTAACTATGAGCAAGAAGGCATATTCCACCGGTAAAGAGAGTAATAGATTTGTAACAGAACTGAATTATAGAAACGCACCATCGAGAGTCTAGAAAGCACCAAACAAGCAAATTGTAAAAAAGGCCACAAAAGAAGGCCTCAAAAAGATCAGAGAAAATTAGGAATTTAAGTCATGCATGATATCAATACAATAAAATAAACGCCCATCAGTGGCTACAAGGAGCAGGATTGAAAGCCGAAAGAACAGGGCTGCTCAAGAGCGACGCCTGTTTACCAGAAATTAACAACCAAAGATCACAAAGGAACTGACTCAGAATGTCTATCTTTAGACAAGTATGATGAAGCCAAAGACCATCTGGTATCAGGGTGCTTAGTTCTAACGCCCAGTGAGTATGATGACAAGACGCGATCGAATAGGAATCTTCATCAGAAATTATACCAACTCTACGGCCTTTCATGCGCAGGCCACTGGTACGAGCGCAAACCTTCGTCAGAAAATTATCGTTATTATCTTATGGGACTTTGAATACAAGCAGAATTATACAGGCAAATAGGCCAGATAATAATGGATCTCGGTTGTGTCCAATTGAATGTAAGCGAAATAAACTGCGTAGTGGTGTAAGTAAACCCTTTTCATTGCCTCTGAAAAACAACAATAATTATGATAATGGAAACTAATTAGTAATCATAATTCTAATAATTATGATTCTTATAAGAAAAATAATTGTAACAATAATTATGTAAATAGTGGTGATAATGACTATAACAAATATTATTTATGATTGTAATAGTAATGCTAATGACAGTA